GAATTCACTTCGACTCTGGAGAGCCAATTATCATAGTCTGAGGTCATTTTTCGTGGTCATCATTCCAATCACAGGTTGGCGGGAGAGTCTGGATTTCTGGTCGACCAATCGCACTCAGTAGCTGATGAAGTTATCGCATTCGGCTGCCCCGCGGAGTTTTAGCTATTGCGGGTACGCTTCATTAATATATCATGTAGATTCGTTTTATTTCTCTAACGATTGAATGAAAACTGTTTCTGAACAATGACAGACTTTCCAGAGTACCGAGTGAGGTAGCTTGTTGAGATTCAGTACACTGCGATAACTTTAGTCGGCGCAGTGTTTATGGTCCCCTCCTGGTTCTTTTATCATATGCCTAGAGGCGATCAGCTACGTGAAATAGTAATGAATGGTATTCTCGATGTCAGCTCATACCACAGACCTTCCCATGCTGCCATTTTACGTTGTATGTTCTTTTGCTTCAGCATTTCTGAACGGAATGATCCACATGATCAGCCATGGAGTAGATGATTGCATTAGCTTTATCCAGCCTGAATTCGGTTCATTCACAACGAGTCCAGTATTAGTCCAAGGGCACCTTTGGTCTGTGATGGCAAGATATTTGTTGTCATCACCGTTCACTGAGGCTTTCTTTGTTTAAGTCACAATCGTTCCAGCTGTGGGTGACGCTGTTTTGGGCGTCGTGTTGGCGGGCACTGAAAGATAGGGATCTGGTAGTGAGTTGCTTAGATGACTTTTAGATGCGATATGTTTGTTTGTCTCTGCAACGGTTTAAGCGCATAATATGTGAGAGCGTCGGTAACCACAGTGTTTAAATTTACTACAGGTTCTCGGCCACGGTTCCCCCTCCTGTACATTGCCATCTGTTTTGAAGCTACAAAACAGCTATCACAAGTAGAAATTAAGTATATAAACCAGTGCACCGGTGTTCACTATGACAGGCAATCCATCTTAGTTGCTGACAGTGTGACACTAAACTTTCTAGCAGGTAGAAGTAATTATCAATCAATTCTTCAAGTAATCTAATTGTTTTTTAGGTATTATTCCAAAACTGGTTCATTACAGCCCTGATACGGTACTGCTGATCATTTCGAACCCAGGTAGGAACTTTTTCTTCGATATATTAAACCACTAAATAATTTCCTGAACTTCTGGATATTATACGATACAAATCATTCAGCGTCAGATCTTCTGGTTCATGGCTAAGAGCAACAAATATCTGTTATAATAATGTAGCCACTGGAAGCCGTTGTGGCGAAGAAAAAGAAGCAAAATTAAGAGACCGGAAGAAACTCATCAGATCAGAACAGTATTGCTTCCTCTGTTGCATCAGTCATTTGTAAACACTTGCGTTTTATTTAAACTCGCACTCATCGTGTGATACCCATCACCATATTATTGCACTAATTCCAAAAACATTGCAGTTTCACTGAGAAAAGACACAACACAACCCTGCCACCGAGGTAGAACTCATCATCTAGAAGAAAAGGAAAGATATCTGCACCAGCTTTTACCTTACCACATGCGGCTCACCATTTTGAGATGCAAGATCGTTGCGGATCTTGCCCGGATTTAAGTGGCTGTGTACTCCTCGAATCCAAACTATTCAAATAATTAAATAACAAATCGTAAAATAAATATTTATAAACTTTAAACTAAAGCCGGTGCTTCGATCTCTTTGAATATTTTTGCAAGAACATCCATTACTTTGAAAAGTGAAGCGCAGTTTGAAAAATAAAAAAATAATTTTATTACCCTCAAAGATCTTCGTCATAAGCAAATCATTAAACTTTAGTCGATATCTTGACGTACGTTTCGTGGAAACTGAGTGGACTGCCGAAGGAACGAGTGATCGGTTCCGGAACCAACTTAGACTCTGCACGACTGCGCTTCATGCTTTCTCAGAAGTTGAATATTGCGCCATCTTCTTGTCACGGATGGATCATCGGAGAGCACGGCGATTCCAGCGTTGCTGTCTGGTCTGGAATGAACGTTGCCGGCGTCACTTTGATGCAGTTAAATCCGCTGATTGGCCAAGACGATGACCCAGAGGATTGGAGGTCACTGCACAAGAAAGTTATCGACAGGTAAACGCTGTTACACTGATTCTTAGAGTTTTCCAATATTAAGCATGCATTTAGTGCTTATGAGATAATAAAACTGAAGGGCTACACCAGTTGGGCCATTGGACTCTCCGTTTCCAGCATATGCACGTCGATCATACGCAACCTTCGTCAAGTTTTCGCCCTCTCGGTCAATGTTCAGGTAAGCATTCGCTAAGTCTGCAATTTTATGATAAACGCGCCACAGCAAGGAAGCCAACCTTATGCCCATGAACTTAAAAATGTTTTTCATCGAAGCTGCTGTACGCGGTAAGCCTTCTTGGGAACTCTATATAAGTTTAAAAGACAATTACAACCAATGTACGACGATGGGCAGTGGCGTAAAACGGTAGACGGGCACTGACCTGCTGATAATAAGGACACTATACGCTTCACCGTGGTCATATCAACGCTTCCCAGGTTATGGCCATGCTGCCTGATGCGTGCACTTTACGGCTGCGATTCACCTTGACCTGCCTGACAGCTGACTAAAACGTAATGCAGAGTACAAGCAATAAAAAAATCTGTTTACTGAAGAGGCTCTGATTATAAATTTTAATGGAATGACCAGCACTCGCCATAAAGCATGATTATGGCAGACTGGCAGAAGTAATGGACTTATGCAAAAGTGTACACAAGAGGCGGTTGCCCCCGCGCAAACCAGAAGGACTACTGAATAAGTTTGCATAACGTATCTTCGTCAGACAAGGAGTGGTTTTTGATCATTGATCGTTGCCACATAAAGCAAGCATATTTCTTAACTTTTTTAGTAATCCTTTTTCTTTGTTGGTTGATTTATGGAGTGATAATGTTTTTAGGGCATGCATAATATCGACAAGGAGGTGTATCTTTCACTACCATGTGTCCTCGGTCAACATGGAATTTCGGATATTATTCGTCAGAAGCTCTCAGAC